TTTCACCTATTACGTCCAAGCTGGTTACATTTTTTTGTGATTATATTTCTATTACGTTACTAGAGCCTCGCACACTAACTCCCGAGTGTGCGATGCAAAATTAAAATGAGATACCCAGAAACCTGTTGCAGGTGCCCCGAAGTCGCTGACGCAAATTTTGAGGAATGTATTTGGAAAAGTATTTGGAGGAGACCAAATGCATTTGGTTGTATTTGTATTTTGTACTTAAATGCTTTTTTGGAAATGTAATTAGATTTGTAATTAATTAAATTTTTGACGAAGTATTTTGTATTTGTGTTTAGATACATATTTGCATGTATTTTGCCCATCCCTGACCTGACACGCGCAGTGGCCGAATTTTTACCGCCGCGAGACAAGAAGGCCGTGAGAAGATTTCTCCGACTGTGCGCCCTACAGGCATTTTGTCCGACATTTCGCGAAGATCTCTGCGCCGCTCACCGACCTAACGAAGGACGCAGTAAACTTTTACTGGGCAGAAGATCAACAGCGCGCATTCAATGAGCCGAAACAGACTCCAGACGTCCCCGATCATCGGCCATTTCGACCAGCATGCCGTGACTGATGTCCACACGGACGCCAGTAATACGGGACTTGGCGCGGTACTGGTACAAATACAGGAAGGTACAGAACGAGTGATCGCCTATGGAGGTCGAACGCTTTCTCAGGCAGAGAGCAATTACTCCACGACGGAGAAGGAACGCTTTGGGGCCTTCTGGGCGATAACCGAGTTTCGTCCCTACTTGTACGGAAGTCCATTCAGAGTGGTCACATACCACCACTCGCGCTGCTGGCTTGCGAACTTGGAGGATCCGACAGGACGCCTTGCCTGATGGAGCCTACAACTGAAAGAATTCAACATGTCCGTGGTCTACAAGTCCGGCCTCAAGCACAAGGACGCAAACTGTCTGTCAAGGGACCCCGTCAAGCCAGCTCCCCACGGCCGCCGCTGGCGACGACTAGGAGGAGAGTTTTTTTGGGCGCAGTAAACGTCGACAATCTGGCGGAACTCCAAGGAGCCGACCCTGAGCTGCCCGCACTGATTGAATATCTGGAAAGGTGGAGGAAGTAGAGTTCGCCCTGTCTTCTCGCGAGCCCTGACAAGCTTCCCCTTCCGACTAGGCGTGCTTTATGTTTTACAAAAAGAACTTCGGGGACAACAATTCGGCGTGGCTCCTGGTAATCCTCACCGGCCTTCGTCAGGAGAGTCTTAAAGCCTGCCACGACAAACTGACGGCAGGGCATCTTGGGTACAGCAGGACACTGGCACAAATCCGCGAAAATTACTTCTGGCCCAAGCTCCCCAAACCGTCCACCAGTACAGAAGGTCATGCCAAGAATGCCAACGACGCAAGAAACCACCAACGAAGCCCGCAGGACTGTTGCAACCGATCGCACCGCATACCTCCCCGTTCCAGCAGATCGGAATGGGATCTACTCAGGCCATTCCCCAAGTCGACGCTGGGATATCAGTAGAGAGTCCTTACGACCGATTATTTCACCCGATACGCTCGAAGAAATCCCTCCCATTCGGGACAGCTCTGGCAGTCACCAAGTTCTTCATTCAGTCCATCATTCTTCGTCACGGCGCCCCTGAAGTCCTGATTACGAACCAAGGAGCAGCATTTACGGCTCAGGTGACTCGGGAAGTTCTTCGGCTCAGCCACACAAGCCACAGACGAACCAGGGCGTACCACCCGCGGACCAACGGGCTCAAGGAACTGCTCATCAAGACCTTCGCTGACAGTATTTCTATGTGCATACGACGATGTGGAGCATAAGGCGTGGGACGGAGTCTTGCCGTACGTCACGTTTGCCTATAACACGGCAGTTCAAGAAAGCACCGGAGTGACACTATTTCAGCTGGTGGTTGGCAAAAAGTGACGACGATGCTCGACTTGATGCTGCCCGATGAGCCAGTGGACAGCGGGAACGTGGACGCCTAGGGTGATCAGTCAGCGAGCAGAGGAGGCGCGCCAGCTAGCCTCCAGCGGATTCAAGGCCAACAACGTGTCGACGCTAGCCGGTACACCGACGTGAGGTTCATTTCCAACCGGGAGACAGAGTGTGGGTGTGGGTTACAGTGATACCAGAATTAAACTGAATATAACCACATCTTAACAACTTTGAAAAAAAAATCCAGCACGAAAATATTAACACAAGTCAATCTAGCAATGCTTTAAGTAGTTGAGCAGTAAGCTTCGCAGTGCTGTAATTAACAAGAAAGGAGGGGCAGTTTCAATTTCAGCTGGAATGTTACTCCATTTATACAACGCCAGTGAAAAAACGTGCACATAAAGATGTCTCTTTTAGACATGTACTCACAAACGTTCAGTTTATGATCTGTACGGGGGGACACAGAGTTTGGCTCCCTCATGGAATGGATTTGAGCGATGCTGCTTTTGCCAATAAACATGTTATAAAACAAGGAAAATCTAAAATATTTCCGCCGACCTGCAAGCAAGGATCACCACAGCACAACTAGCAGAATAGATCTTATGCCCGAGTCCCACTAGAGCGACAAACAGAAACAACCGACAGCGACAAGCCTCAAACCCATGCATCATGCTCGCGATGGTACCTTTGGCAGGCGTTTAGTCGTTCGCTACGCGTGAAGTAAGCACGAGCGATTGCAAGCGTGCCAAAGATACCCTCGCGTGTATGATGCTCGTGTTTGAGCATAGCCTCCTTTATTCTACAAAGCCTGTCAAATAGCGAAAGACTCTGGTTTGAGGACAAGAAGAAGCTCGATTCTATCATAAGACAAGTGTACAAGTTGGCCCTCGGACTCCCCATGGCCACGTCTACGGACCGCCTCATGCAACTTGGAATACACAACACGGTGTCCGAACTCGTCGAGGCGCACCGGAGCTCTCAAATCGTGCGTCTCTCTAAGACGCCTACCGGGCGCGCCGTCCTGGAAAGGCTGGGGATCGAGCCGGAACCTTTGCAAGAGGCCCCGGTCGACGTTCCGAAGACGGTTAGGAAAGCGTTGGAAGTCCGCCCGGTACCGCGGAATATGCACCCTCAACATCACGAGGAGCGGAGAAAGGCGCGAGCTGACGCCCTCAACAAGCAGCATCGTACCAACTCTGGCGTCCTTCACGTGGACGCTGCGCCGTACCCGGGCGGCGCCTCTCGTAACGCCTGTTTCGCGATCGCCGTGGTAAACAGCGACGGATCCACGGTCGCCCAGGCCTCCGTGACCACCAAAGCCACTGCAGTGGCGGAAGAGGCGGCCGTTGCACTGGCCCTGGTCCACGCGGGCCCCCTCTCAACGACGATCACCAGCGACTCCAAGACGGCAGTCCGCAATTTCGCCAGAGGCAGGGTGTGCGCGGTAACGGAACGCATCCTTCGATCCTTCAAGCCCGGCTCCGACCGCACCAGACACCGTCTGGTGTGGGTCCCCGCTCACTCGACCCACGAGGGGAACAAAACGGCACACGCAACGGCAACTCGAGCAACTTCCCTCCGAATGCCGGCCGGCACGCTGCCAAGCTCCCTTAGCGGCGTCGACGAAACGGCGTCCCACCACCTTTCGATGTCCAAGGACTGCCTGACGGTGTTCCAAGAGATCTTGCAACACTACCGCCTAGAACGCAGACTGTATCCACCACCCGACAAAAGTCTCACCAAGTTCCAGGCCCTGAGATGGAGACAGCTGCAGACAAATACCCTCCCCTGCCCGGCCTTTCTGCGGCATATCTATCCAACCCTCTTCGACGGGAGGTGCGCTCGCTGCCCGCCACCAGACCCCGCCGACGGGGGGACTGGCCCGACCAAGGCCACCATTGCACACTTGTTTTGGGAATGTCCCTTCGACCCTCCCTCACCTACTCTACGGGACTTCGTCGCTCACCTTCGAGAAAGAGAAGAGGACCCGCTGGATCCCCCTTGGGCTGTGCTTCTCCGAAGCTCGGACCCACACATCCAAGCCGAAGTCGTCTCCCGAGCGGACAAGATCGCGACGGAAGTCACGAACACCTTACAAAAAGCGAACGAGCACCCGACGTTTGACTTGGCGTGAACATCGGTGCATGCCATGCACCGATGTTCACGCCAAGTCACATCCCTTCCAGAACAGAGAAAAGCCACCTCGCATGCATTCCTTTTTAGTTCGGGAACAGAATTTTTTCTTTTTGAGAAGCCGCGGTAGGTAAACCTCTATCCTGCGGCTTCTTGATGTGGTGTTCCATTAAAGTTGTTTCTCTCTCTCTCTTGAGGCTTGTAGCTGTCGTTTTTTTTTTCTGTTTTTCGCTCTAGTGGGACTCGGGCATTAGAGAAGTCATAGTTACCTGACAAACCGCGCTGCTCGTTTCTGCATGCGTTCAAGACGTGTTCTTCGTACAAAGATGCCAGGCGGTACACGTGCATTTGAATATTGAAAGCACGTTCGTCATATATAAAGTTTCGCTAGGCTGTACAGCAACCTGCATAAAGTTACGTTTTATGAAATTTAACGTGCGGTTGCGCCCACGCACAGCTGCTGCAAATCGCGGCTGATAGAAATGTGTCAGTCACATTAAAACACCTGTTTTATTTATGCACAACTTTGCTTCGTTAATTTGTTTTTATTCATCCTCCTTTTTTTATCCATCCTCCTTTTTTTATCATAATACTACGCTCAGTCCGCTCCCGTGTCCACCTTAACTGGATAAATGTCGTGTGGCCGTGTTCCACTGCTACGTGATGCACGTCTTTGACCCCAGGTGTAGCATACTGCACTATGCACTGCGCTGCTAATTTTTCTACGCTCGTTTTTCTTTTTTCTTGTTTCTGGCACAAGTCCGCAGATTAAACCTTCATCTGTAGTTTCACGTTAGTCTATCCCCCTTTCATCCGCGCCGGTATTAAACAAACTCCGCTACACCCAGTCTCTGCTGCAGTTTTATGCGCATTTTCGAACAACCGGCACTGCGTCGTAGGTTTGAAACGTTCATTACAGCAGGGCCAGCTTTCGTAACAGTATTGTTCCTTACCAATATACTTGTGCGTCCTTGAGGCGACATGAAGAGCGGTGCAGAGGTAGGTGTGGTTCTGCATAAAGACACAGGGTGTATAAAAATATTAGCACGATGTCCCTCGCACGAACATTTCAAATAAAGCAGTCACGAAGAAACCGAGTTTTTGGAACAAGAAACCGAGATTGTCTCATGGACCCTTTATTTATAACTAATTCAAACCATGTGACCAAGGGCCCGAAACAAGTATGTGCAATGCCACCTATATACAGACCAAGGCATGCGTGTATTTTCTCCCTTAGAGTCATCACTAATGAATCCATGCAGCGCCATCTTCCGTCAACATGGTCGCTAGCGCGTGGCACTCGCCGCTTGCCGCTTGGCGCGCCACAGGCGCACCACGCGGCTTTATCTGCATCGACCAGATCCGAGACCCTACGTCACTTCCAGATCGGAAGTGACGTAGGGACGGCAGCACCGGTTGCCATGGGTACTGGCACGCGCTGCCGCGCGGCGCCCGTTTTCATCACTCATGAGACTCCTGGGGCCCTAAGCTGGACGCTTGGCGAAAACGACGGCGAGAAATCTGGCGGCCGCGATTGGCCAATGCCACACTTGACCTTGGCGCCGGCCAATCATAGGCGCCGAATTTCTCGCCGACTTTTCCGCCAAGTTTCCAGGCGAGCCCAAGAGGCGGACGTGTCCGCCGTACAGCCGCCTGGAAGCCACCGAGGCGTCTGCGTACTGGGGCCCTAAACTCGTGAAACACAAAGTTCGGGCAAAAAGTTCGCGGAGCGCGCCGATTGGATGCTGGCGACAAAAGCGCCAAGTCATCGTCGTAATTATCCCATCGGTGCGCTCCCTCAACTTCGGCCCCAACTTTGGGTTTCACGAGTTTAGGGACCCTGGTACGCGAAAATACTCGCTGGTTATTGACGGTGCAGAAAATAACACACCTTTCCCGCCCAAACCTGCTATATGCATGCAAGCATGTCGACTCTACGGTACTAGTTTGTATGCTCGTTTGAAATTACAAAACAAAAGCTCGCATGTAGACCAAAGTGTGGTCAGAGCTAATGCACTTGCGAAGGTGTTGGTTTTTGCGAGGACATAAGGTATTTTTTTTAATATAAATTCTACTGCGTCAGCAAATGTTTAGGTGGGATCGGGAGCTGAATGTGTCGACGGTGCACCCCAGCTCGGAGCGCATGGAGCGGAAGCTCGCGCTGCACTACCCAAATATCCCGGGTTCAGTCCGTACCGTTGCCCGTTTCGATCAGGGGCTGTTATAGCCTCGTCAAATACAAAATATGAGGCGAAAGCTCACTGTTCGCTCGGATGGGACTTGGGCCGCAAAGGCTCGGCGTCATCGTCGCGAGAGTACGATCGGCACATGCCGTAAACCTGGGGCACCAGCTCGGTATTTGAAGCGACTGGGACCCGTGAATGAGCATATAGTACAGGCGCACGGTCGTGTTTCGCATCTGTGCGATGAACGTTAAAAAGACCCCAGGCTAGCAGTCGTACAGCACTGGCAAATTTTATCATTTAGAGCAGAAATCTTGAAACCCCGGACCGCTGACCAGGTCCGACCCGCGGATATCTTCCGACCGCCTCGCGGCTGGCCGCGGTCTTTCACTCTAAAAAAAAGAAAAATAAGTTTTTAAGTGATTACCTTGGAGGTAGTAAAAAGCTGTCCCAAATATAACGACAGCTAGGGTAAAAATGACGACACTACACGTAGTCAGAAAGAAGGTAGTCAAATTTGACCACCCCCTAAAGCAACATGGTGGCCGGTTAGCGAGGCTCGAATTCCCCGGTAAGGCTTAGCGGACAGCACTTCTTTTCGACCGAGTGAGAGAATAGGGCGCATACGCCTATTCGACGTCTTCCAAGCCCCATCAGACACTCTAAACGACCGTTCCCAGACACCGGTACCGTACCTATATCCTGGAAGGACGGCAGAGTGTGCGCCTAAATCGCCGCGATTGCACCCGACGGCATCTCGCTAGAATGACAGTATTCTTACCGCCGACAACGAACGCTGAAAGAAATCGTTACACGAGGAATGGGCATGCTGACTTTATTGAATACAAAGTATGGTTGTCGTAAGCGGCGATAAATCGCTGGGCACCTTCGTCGACACCGACGAGAGGCGTTCAACTCGCAGCAACGCTACTGCTATTTTTTTTTTTCTATCTCTTCTTGTTTGTGCCTACCTCTACCGACGTGGGATCGATTCGTGCGCGTGTGTGCCTGCACTTCGCAGCTCTTCAACACAGAACGAGTATTTAAGTGGCTGAATGGCTCAATGGACCTTTTCCGAGAAGCGTTCTGCGCACGCGCGAGCGTCGGATGCCAAGCGGTGGAAGTCGGCACGAAAAATCGAGGAAATTCGGAATGAGGCTGTAGATCGACGAGTAGAACACGTAATTGCAGCATATATATAATTGTGTTACACACAAAAAAAAAAGTGGACGGAAAGAAAAACGCGACGTCTGGGTGGACGCTACGGATTTCCCTCTTTAAAGTCGCGTTGGGCACGCGACGCAGCTCAGAGAGTGAAGCAACTGGTAGCGTAGCTACCATTATCGATTGGTAGCGCAGGTAGGTCACTTCCTCGATTTTTCGTTCGTGCAGCCACCGCCTGGTGCCGTCGGTATTTGGAAAAGGTCCATTATTACGACTGTTATCGAACTGAGAGGCAAGGACGTAGGGAGACCAGTGGACAGCAAGCCAGCTGTTTGTAATCAATAACTACAGGACTGCTCAACACATACCTTATTGAATCAAGAGGCAGTTTGCGCCACCTAGGAAGTGTAGTAGTAACCACTAGATGGCGCTAAAAGAAATGATTAAATGCCCTTATTTTAGATTTCACGGGACGACTGCTCATACACCATCACACACACAGCACAAACACCAACCAAAATACCGAACACTGTTACAGGCGCATACATGTCAGCAGTACAACAAGGCACAAACAACTCTAACACAACACCCCCGCGTTCCGACCCGATTCATATAAACGGCCTACCATCTTCTGACTCAGGCTAGACAACTCTCTTAACCGAGCGCTTTGAAGGGCAACATGTTATGAAAGTAATCGGCTAAAGTAACACCGAACGGCATGCTCCCGATCAGTTTCGGTTTCAGATTAACGCAGGGACTCACGCCATGTTGCCCTATGCTCGCTCCGCTCATGTAATCTGCATTCCTAGTCAGTAATAGGCTAAAGGTAACAATTCTCAGTCTTGTTCGATTCGTTCTTTTTTCCCTTAAATTTAGTGCTTGAGCATAGGTAACTGAATTGTAGCGGGCAAACGCTGGCGGCACTATTCCCCGTGTTGGTCGAGCGACAGAGGAGTCGCTCTACTCGCTTCACTTTAAAAGCCCCTAAATTAAACTTATAATAAAAAAGCATTGTGGTACAATTGTGTATATATATATATATATATATATATATATATATATATATATAAACTAGCATAGTCGAGATTTTTTTTATGTGCTGCATTCAGAGAAAATATATACCTCTTTCAAATTATTTCAAAACTTTCCGTTTTCTGTTGACAACAAAAGGTTGCCATTTTCCAAGCGTGGGGACACTTCAAATAAACAGTGTATTAAAGGGGCCCTGCAATCATATTTAAGCGTTTAACTTTTTTGCGGTTTCCACGTCTCTTGGGGTTCGGGCAAGCCAGCGGGCACGCAGAGAGTAACTAAATATCAGGGCGTCATATTTTAACCGGACGACACGGAAACCTCCCCCACCTACGGGGGCGGCTCGCGGTACCGAAAGCGCGCGATATGTGAAGTCTTCGGTTTTGGGTTTACTACAGGTCAGAGCCGCTAAAAGCTTTTCAGCCGAATTACAATATATAAGTGGCGCGAACCGTTTCAATTATTTATTCAAGTAGTTTTTGTTCACTATTTTAGATTAGAAAATAAAGAAATGCAGTTCAGAAAGTACGGAAACAAGATATGACCCGTCAACATAGCCACCACCAAGCGGTGGAAAAGGCGGTGCATTTTAGAAAGGTGTAATGGGACAGGCACCAACGAGCGGCGAGCGTAGAAAGGTCCCGGGTGTACGCGGCGGCGCTGCGGTTGTATGGACTGGAGGATCCGACCGGTTCCGAGCGTTCCCAAAGCCTTCGGCGAGCAGCTTTGGCTTGCGGTTTGGCCTTTTGGCGGTATGCATATGGCAGCGCGAAATGGCTCCCGTTCCGAACTTATCTTTACCCCGTGTTTGCTGTGGTATGTGGCCAATGAAGTGTCATGCCGAGTTCGTGTTTAATCACGCAGCAAATGCAATGCGAGCCGCCCTGGCTGCCCGCTTCATACAGCCTAGCCAGAACATGCTTTAGTGGCGCCCTCTCGAGCCGTCGACAAGGAGTGTGGCAGCCGTGGCCGTTCGCTGAGCTCCACTACCCCTTTTCTAGTTCACCGCCACTCAAGCACCCAAGGACGTCATAAAGGAGGCTATTTTTTGCTTGTTTTTGTAACTTTAATTTGCCAATAACTTTTAAAACAAAGCGAAATTCGAGAAAAGTATCATTAAGTTACTACGTTCATTGCGCTAAGGTTCGGTTTGGTAATTAAAAACCAGTAAAAAAAAGTCCTTGCAGGGCCCCTTTAAGCTCAAAACATTAGAGCATTACAACCAAAACTATATATATATATATATATATATATATATATATATATATATATATATATATATATATATATATATATATATATATATATAAAGTGGCTCTAATGGAGACAAAGTGTTCAGGTGGAAATGGTTTGTATTCTTTTATATTCCAAATCCGATATACAATTTTATATTGAAAATATTTTCCTTTCAAAAACATGTGAATTTTTTAAAACAACCTTGTAGGTACTTTTGAAACTTTGTGGAAATGGAAATCTGAAAATTAGTCTTTTTCCGGCACTGGACTATAGTCGGTTACAAGTCAAGAAGGTAGGAGAAGCTCCACCCACAAGCGTGATGCGCCCGTTTCAAATCTCTCCGCAGTCGAAAGAAAAGTCCACTGGAAACGCTCTTTGTTCCTCTTCAATGGATTC